ACATGTAATCGTTCATTGATCACTTTAAATATTCGATTTCTGAAAGTCATTAGAATATGAATTAGTATTAAATAATCACGATCACAACATCCAGCAAAATCATCGTCAACATCATAATTTCCACCCCAAAATGATACAGTCTGAATCAGTCAGTAGTGCGTGACGCCTCAAAACAGATGCAGGACGGTGGCACAGGATGAGACATCTTAGTGCTGTGATAATAGGAGCGCACTCCACTTCAGGCAGCAGCAGCAGACAGTGAGCACACCCCGGCTGTCAGGCAGCAATAGCGTGCATGGCTGAGACAGGCCTGAGCAGCAAAGCTGGACAAGGAGGACTTACATTTCTGTGCTGCCGTTTCTGCTGGCGCCCTTTGGCCTGTTGCAGGGCCGTTTTCACCTGCACTCGGTGATGCACAGGGTGAAGGTAAGGGGGGAAAAACACGAAGACATAAAGAAAAGTAGTGGTTGTAGGTAGAAAGTTGGATACTACACATACTACAACTTCAGAGTCGTCAGTTACTGGATAGAAACAGATTCCAAAATTGCCAGAAAAAGTATTATTTTAAAACATTAATCAACTTTTTATTACCAACACTAAATCAAATAACTAGTAGTGCCAAAATGGGAAATCTCAACCAATCCTCTACAGAGCCTTTTAAACTGTTTACCAAACTTTTATGGCGTCTGCTGTAAAACCAAATGACACTCAAAACAGCCATTTCTGGCAAACCACACAGGAGCTCTTACTGGTTTGACTTTAAAAGGATACTTTCACATTTTTCAAGTGTATCTTTATACTACTGACAGCAGAGACATCACCTCTGAAACAATTGTCAATCAATGTAGGGATGGGGGGAACAAAATCCACAGTGTTTCTTTCATCCAGAATAACAGCTGAAGTTAATATGAGTTGACTAAATGGAGTTGGTATTGAGTATCTCAGTCCTTTTAGTATGAAACTCAGTTGCTGCCACAGACAGTGTTTGCATGCTGAGCCAAGCCTGGGGGGAGTTACTCAAAGAGGAAATTTTGTACTAAAAAGACAGCGGCAGCGATTTGTCAAATTCAGGCTGCTGAAGCGTCAAATTAGCTTTTGAGGGTATTTTAGCTCACAAGAACAAGAACATGGATTTTATCACATTTTACTTAAATTGCTTTAGGAAGGGATCTCTTTGCAGTCAGTGTGGACAAGAGGAACTATTATAGCCAAGATAATGCTTTCAACGTACATTCTAGGCATGCAAGTGTTGTTTTTAGACACCTAATAAAGTAGAGCCTATTGTTTAAAAAAAAAAAAAAAGAGGGTAACATTTAAGTATCTACAAATGAGAAAAATAAATTGTTTATGCATAAATGACCACACTCATACTGCTAACAGTAAAGAAAATGCCACTGATGTAAAGACAAACACACAAACGGCTTGCTGACAGATTGCAATGAAGATGGGAGAAGCAACCGGAGGTGAGAGGGGGAATAAGCGTCTTGTAACAGAAAATGTAGCATGCATGATGCATCTAGCACTTTTCAAACACAGGCTACAAGGTTTTTGGGGGCTAAAATGTCCACAAATACTTCCTGTCAACAGTCATCTCACATTTGAACAGCTATTCCCCCGTTTTAGGGCTGGTACACGAACATTAGTGAGTACAGTCCTGCCACTACATTGGGGGTGTGCCTGCAGCTCATTTGTTATTCAGTACTCACTTCGCTTAGGGACTGCTGGATATTCTGTCGGGACTTAGCAATGTCCTGCATGATGTCATTAACTTCTCTCTCCTGCAGGTACGTGTAGGTAAAGTGGTGATGAAGCGGAGCAGTGAGAAAGACAGAAAGCAACATGCAAAACTGACAAAAGCAAGATAACCTACACATACACCCAACATTTAAGATGACTTGTTAAAATATTTGAATAATATGTAATGGAATGAAAACGTGTACTTTTTTAAAAAACAAGGTTCTTGTGAATTAATACATTTAGGAGGGCAAGCAGTCAATCAAAAGCAAGCTTATGTGGGTGTGCAATGTAAAGGCTACACACATTTGGCAGCAGGCGTAATGGTACACAAACCAAGGATGATATCCTGAACTCTGAGGGTGCAGCTGTCATGTTCCCACTTGAGTACATGTACTGAAACGTGAACTATTTTTGGTGGTACTACTTTTCACCAAAGAAACAGGCCCAGCGAAATAAAAACTCGACAGTGTAATCTGTGGATTATTCTGCGCAACTAGCACGTTGTTTCTGTAAAGTTTCTATTGCATTTGTGCAGCAGCAGAGGCAAAAACCTCAGCACATAACACCAAAACTCTCTGCATCGCTTGAAATCACAAGGGCTAAGTGAGCAGTGGCTTTTTGTGATTTGGGTGAAATGACCCGTTCAGACCTGGAAGTGATCATACTCTAATCTGTCCATTGTTTCCCAGGCTTGTGTAAAAACTGAGCCCTGGACGGCCTGAGCAGCAGAGACAGCTGCCAAACCACCTGACCCCTCTCACTAGGACGAGCCACTTCTAAATCGAGTGGCTTAACTCACATGCACACAGCTGCTCCGGCTGCCAAGGGCTGTGACTGACGATGATGTAACTATTGCTTAATCTACGGGGCTGGTGACTGACAGGACAGCAGGAGCTGGGGAGGTGTGAGGCAGGAGATGAAAGGAACTTCAAAAGATGGCAGCAAGAGACAAGAGTAAGATTGGAAATAGAAATGAGGGCATTTGTTTTTTTAGACAGTCTGAATGATCTGGTTATTAAACAAGGTCCTGGGTACACAAAACCAACGCAGCTTTGCTTTTGGGCTGCATAAAAGTCAGTCAACCCTTTAAAAAGAAGTTGAATTTCTTGGACTTTAACAGAATGTGTACTTGTTCTACCTGTTGATGCTGTGTGGAGGGTCCGTTGACTCCCTCGTAGAAGCGCTTTTCTGCCTCATCGTAGCTGTGTTTGTCGAACCAGATGTTCTCTGAGGCGAGGCACTGCAGTCCACTCATTTTGGTACTGAGGAGCGAAGTCAGAAATTGAGGACAAATAAGATATACAGGAACAAGAACCCAAAAACAACTAAACATTGATCTATATCCAACTGTATTTCTACTCAACAGCCATGACCACGAGTTAAGCCTTTACAGCCAGCACAACAAGTGACAAGAAAAGTGTGACGGGACATGGCTAAATGAGATGCTTGACCAGGACACCGTATATTACAGATTACAACACCATGCAGATCCACAGATGGAGTTGTGGATGGAATAGGGAGAGACAAAACCCAAGCGTAACACAGACAGTTTCATACAGTATACACAATAAATTAAGGCAGAACAACAGACAGTTTCTATTTTTTTTAAAAAAGATTAAGTTTAGAAAATGGGTGAAAAAGACGACAGCATATATGCGTCACCTCACTTTTTGCTGATGGGTTTCTGCAGCAGACACACATTCCTCAGTCAGTGAAACACAGTTGCTGGGTCTGCAAAGTCCGGATTATCAAACAAAAGGGTGGTGGCCCACTAACAACCCCCTAGTTACAGCACAGGTCCAGCAGAGCTATACATACATACAGACAGACAGACAGTACTTGCTGCATGTTGTACACAAACACTTTGTGAGATACTGACACTGCCAGACCTTAAGTATTAAAGAAAGCAAAGGGGCTTGCCACTGATCAGTCTGTTATTT